AAATTACTGTAATAAAATAATATGTTTTAAATAACGAATTATCAAACTAGAACAAGATGGTCAGAAACGAACGGACAACGAGATCAAGATGGACCGAAACGAACCACCATCAAGCCTTCAAAAAAAAGAAAAAAGTCAGAAACGAATTATCAAACAACAAGACCTAGATGGTCAGAAGCGAACTATCAAGCCTTCAAACAACGAGACCAAGATGGTCAGAAACGAATTATCAAACAACGAGACCAAGATGGTCAGAGAAGAACCATTAAAAATAGATTAAGCTGTCCCAGAAACAAGCCATCTAACAGCGAGAACAAGATAACCAGAAATGAACCATTAATCCTTCAAACAACGAGAAAAAGATGGTCAGAAACGAACCATCAAGCCTTCAAAAAAACGAGACCAAGATGGTCAGAACCGAACATCAAATAATCAAACAACGAGATCAACATGGTCAGAAATGAACCATCAAAAACAAGACCAAGAAGGTTAGAAAAGAGCTATCATAAAACAGTGTACAAAACCAGAAATAAACCATCGAACGGTGAGACCAAGACGGTTAGAAATGAACCATCAAATAGAGAAGATCAAAATGGTCACAAACAAGCTATCATACAGGCAGGACTAAGATGGTTACAAACGAACGACGATTTTTAAGTTAATCGAGTTATCTTGCGAAAAGAATAAGATACTGTCGAATTAGGATGAAACGTGAATAGTCAGATCCAAAGATGATAATTGTTGGCCGTATTTATTACATTATTCATTTATACAATTTTCTATACAAGCAAAGGAAAGTAAGAACATATAAGCTAAGTCTAATACTTGAGAATTGTTGGCGATCTCTTTGCCTTTATCCACATTTTTTTTTCAGCCGGGAACAGTCCGATTGTTTGCAAACTGGATCTGTTCACGCCAGGCCTCGATGGCGTAATCGAATTATCAACGCAGTGAAGCAACGGAAGCTCAGGCAAGAGAGCAGACACAAAAAAACCGACCTTAGGGCGGCTAGACCGGCGTCAGGTCACAAAACTAAGTCCCCGGACTGTGAACTTCCTTTCAAATACTTCAAACAATGGGGAAAATTTTCAAATTTTATATAAAAAGGACAGTCGACGTGGATAAGGGACGTCGTATTTAAAGCGTACTGAGTTTGATGGGTTTTCCGGGCCGAACAACACGACCTGATAACCGACAACAATGGCACGTCAAGAAGGAGAGATAGTACACTGCGAGAGGGAGTCCTCAACGGTTTTGTACGTTTCGCTATTTATGGCGTGGTAGGAAACTGACGCGGTCTGCACCTCGTGAACGTAGCTGCACCTCTTCAATTTTCAGCAAGCCCCTAACAATTTTGTCGAGGCCCAAGTTTCTCCGATTCTAATCTACAAGACCGCAAAATACGAAACTTTACTATCACATTCAATGATTCGAAAATCCTGATATCGAGTGAGTTTGGTTGAAAGTTGAATTGCAGATGTTTCGCTACTTTGCCACATGTTGCCGAAACGAAGCTAACACGCGACGTTTTTTCCTCCTATTTAGAATACAATTCGCCTTGGCAAAAATGGTTCAATTTCTTATTATTCCTAAGATTTTTTCATTAAATTAGGTCTTTGACTGTATACATCAATCTATTCATCCTCTGAACGTTTTGTCGTTCCACATACGTCCATGAAAAACTAGTAACATTCTCCTCCTAAAAAATGAGAAAAGGGCGAATATTTCTAAAACAGCATTACATAATAGCATTATCATATGTGCTAAAACATCATAAAATGGAAAAAAGCACAACCGTTTTAATTATATTGTCATAAACCACACTACCTACATAGAAAATATCGAAGAATATAATCTAGTATATTTCAATATTTTCAACAATTAATTGCAATTATTTTCCCAGTGAAATGCGTGAATTTAAGCTCTATACATTTTTAAATTCAATAATTAATAGAAGACCAATCGTACGGTCTGGTATGGATAGTCTCAGAAAAAAATTAACAGTAGTTATTAGGATTATCGAATATTACAGATGGATATTCTATGGGTCAGCCTATCCTTTCGCCTACAGTTTTTTTCCTTAATTCAAAGTATCAAATATGACATATGAACTACATAAATTTTTACGTCACAATTAAAATAGTCCTAATTATTTGGCATTCTTAGAGATGAGTCTTTATAATTAATTATTGGAATTCAACGTTTATATTCCTGCACGTTAATTCCTTTGGTAGGGTAAGAAATTTACTATTTTCCGCAATGAAGATTTTTCTTTTCTCACCTCAGCAAAAATTGCACGGAATGTTTAATTAAAATTAAAACCGCTGGATGTCAAATAATTAAGTTACTGGAAGGAACTAGAATAATATTACCCCCTTTGGAATACCCGTGGAATTATCTCAAATTAAACGTCAAATTTACGCATCTTCCTTGCTCTTTCTAATTTGTAAGTTGAAAGTAGGTAAGATTAAACGAACGTTAGAAAGAGGATGAAATAAAGGAAAATTCTTTGCGCCAGGTGTTTTTCCAGCTCTAAAGCAACAGGTGCGCTTTCGTTAATGCGACAAACAACGTACAAATTTCGCGATGGAAAGAGACAAAAATACAAACTGATCGACATTATTGACCAAAACTAAAATTCCTAATTCAAAAATGAACAATCCTTTACGTCAAATACAAATTAATATAGATAACTGTGTAAAAAAAACCCTGCACGGATGTGCAAATTAATCAATTAAGAGAGAGAGAGAGAGGGAGGAAGAGAGAGAGAGAGGGAGGAAGAGAGAGGAAGAGAGAGGAAGAGAGAGAGAGAGAGAGAGAGAGAGAGAATGTGAGAGGGAGGAAGCGAGAAAGAGTGGATGAGAGAAAAATAAAGCAAAAAGTATTATCCAACGCAAAATCCGAAATTTGGTATGTAAATATTTTCGAGTATGGGTAAAATCTTCTTTTATACGTGAACAGGAGAGAAAATGTGTTATTTATGATCTATGATTTTGAGTAATTTACCCCACACAGAACCGAAACCGTCCCAATAATTTATAAATTAGGAGTAAGGTTTGAAACAAGTGTTTTACTTATCGTACAACGTCAAAACCGATAATATTATCATGTAACAAACGTCACAAAATATGCAATTAAGCCTGTACAACTCAAACGGCTAAAATAAGTAATGAAAAGTGCTTTCGATAATTCGGCCTTTACAGATTTTAAACAAAAATTAAACCATTCCGTTGAACTATAAACAAAATTTCCTCTTATCGAGAAAATACACACACACACACACACACACACACACACACACACACACACACACACACACACACACGCACGCACGCACGCACACGCACGCACGCACACACGCACACGCGCGCGCGCGCATACACACACACACACACACACACACACACACACACACACATTCACAAACAATATTTTCCTTTTATTGATTTTTCCGATAAGATTTTAGGTTGCATAATCGCTATTTAACATTGTGCAGAGTTGATATGATTTCACGTCGGTCAAATCGATAAAGAACGTTTTCCACGCATTTTCATCCACGATGCTGTCGATGGGCACGATCCAAAGCGAGAGATAAAATTAGAACCCTGTCGGCGAGGTCACGTGCTTTCCACCTTTGTATCGAACTACCAACAGGTTGCCGTGAAATCGGACAAAAAAGCTTGGAGAAATAATGAAGACTTTCAAACTAACAAAGAAAACATAAGTAATAACAAAACTATCGAATATAAATAATAAATAAATGTTACTCTATAACAATCCGATCTTACGTTGTTATCTCAACTTAAATCTACAGATACAATGTAAAAATGTATACAACTGAAAAAACATTATAAAGCTGGAATAAAAAAAAAAATTTGATAAAACTACATTACATAAAATCGATAGAAAACTCTGCGGACTATCGTGCCTATAATGGTGCACATTAAAAATTGAACAAGTACTCGGTCTTACGTGTTCAAACATGGTTATCATTAAATATCATAAACACTTTACTAAGTACAAATAAAAGATGGTCTCGCATGTACATAAAGAATCGATCTCCCAGGTGTATAGAACACACGAATATTATAAACTTTTCAAATGACAAATAAAGTGTCTCGTCTGTCTCGAAGATGGTTAACAAAAGTTTACAAATTTATCTACAAAACTATAGTTTCACGTGCTCGAAAATGGCCGCTGTAAAAACCTTAGAAAAGACAAGTACAACGTCCAAGGTGTTCAAAAATCCCACCTGTGTAACAACTTTTTAATTGGCAGGTGAACTGTCTCAAAAGCTTGGAGATGGTTAAAAAAACCTAACAACTTATATCCACAAACCATGGTTTCAAGTACTCGAAGATGGCAACTGTGAATACTTAGACATGACAATTACAATAGCCCAGGTATTGAAAAAACATCCCAATTTAAAAGCTTTTCTAACAACAAAATGTCTCAAAGGCTTGAAGATGGTGAAAAAACAAAACAAATTGTTTAGAACTTACATCGACAAAACCATGGTTGCACGTGCTCGAAGATGGCAACGGTAAAATTTTTAGAAACGACGAGTCCCACTGTTGAAAAAAATGCCAATTTAAAAGCTTTTCAAACAGCAAAATGTCTCAAAGACTAGAAGATGGTGAAGAAAAACAAATTGTTTAAAACTTATATCCATAAAACCATGGTTTCAGGTGCTCGAAGTTGGCAACTGGAAAAACTTTAGAAATAATTACAACATCTCGGCTGTTCAAAAACAGACCAGTATGATTTTTTTAAATGGATAATAAAATGCCTCAAAAGCTCGCATATAGGTTAAAAAAAGTTTACAACTGATATCCACAAAACCATGGTTTCAAATACTAGAACATGGCAACCATAAAAACTTTAGAAATGGCAATTACCAAGTCCCACTTTTGAAAAAACATCCCAATTTAAAAGCTTTTCTAACAAAGCGTCTCAAAGGCTTGAAGATGGTGAGGAAAAACAAATTTTTTAAAACTTACAACCACAAAACCATGGATGCACGTGCTCGAACGGCAACTGAAAAAAATTTAGAAACGACAATTACAACGTCCCAGGTGTTCAAAAACCCACAGTATAATTTTTTTAAATGGCTAATAAAATGTCTCAAAAGCCCGAAAATAGGTTAAAAAAAGTTTACGACTGATATCCACAAAACCATGGTTTCTAGTACTCGAAGATGGCAACCATAAAAACTTTAGAAATGACAATTACCAAGTCCCACTTTTGAAAAAACATCCCAATTTAAAAGCTTTTCGAACAAAGCGTCTCAAAGGCTAGAAGGTGGTGAAGAAAAACAAATTGTTTACAACTGATATTCACAAAACCATGGTTTCACTTGCTCGAAGTTCGCACTGTAAAAACCTTAGAAACGACAATTACAACGTCCCAGGTGTTCAAAAAACCCACCAGTATAATTTTTTTTTTCATATGGCTAATAAAATGTCTCAAAAGCTCGAAGATAGGTAAGTAAAATATATAACATATATATTTTACTTACTTATATTAATAAGTTAATACTTATATCCATCCATAAAACAATGGCTTTACGCAGTTTAATAAGGGCAACGAAGAAAAGACCGTAACTTAAATACTAAAAAACATTGTTATCACGTACGAAAAGATGGTTACTATAAAACATTCCAAAAACCACAAATATAAGTACAAACACAAATATCCTAGGAAAAACTTAGTACATAAAGTGTCTCAAAGATCAACGATTGTGGGGAAAATGAAAGAAAAAGTCTCCTAATTTTATTCGACAAGGTTTTCACTTGCTCCAAGAGGGTTACCAAGTTGAGAACACCGGCGGAATATTGGTCTGAATGAGACGTTACATTTAATATGTATATTTGGCAAACTATCAATGGCATAAACCGCGCTAATAAGTGAAATCAACAGGTCTTACCGGATTTTCTCTTCTCCTGGAGGACTTGAGGTTTGGGCCTCTTGAGTCTTAAGGACCTCCTTTTGAGAGACCTGAGGAGTGACTCGGCCGGAGGCTGGGCCGCGGATTTGTTCCTGTCGGGTGTAAACCACTTCATAGCCTGTGAGACGACTAACATCTCACGGAATCATGACGACTCGACGAGAACCGACACCGCACTGCTCTACCCCACCGGATAGTGTGAATCGGAGGGCGCGCATGCGCCTTCCCCTCCTAGAGTACTATAGAGACTCGGAGAGTATTTCGGGACATTCGGTCAAGGTGCCGGGGGTACGGTGTGTACCCATCGAGGAGAAACAATGAACGAGATAAGGCGGCGGTCACGGTCCCAGAACGACGGCACGCTTTTCACGGGCCTTCCGGTTTCCGATTCCGCCTCCGATCGCATCCCCCTTCCTTACTCCGATGAAAGTTCTTGATAAACAAACATACAAAACGCTTCTCTTACCATCAAAAACATCAAGAGCAATATTAATAACGGAAAAACATATCCGTTTAACTCTGGCGTTTCCTTGAAATTTCGAGGTGAACCAGATCTTGTGAAACGATAAACCAGAGGCAACTACTAATTCAGTCCTTAAGAAGTATTAATTTCACTAAGTTGTGAGATTTTTGAGGCTTGCAGACTTTTTTTAATGGTTTTATTTCTATGTTTAGAACTTATCAATCACAGATGACAACGGAGTCATATGAGTCTCCAATACACTCTGAGGGACGACGGTACTCGATATTCCGCCATATCCCCTTTCACTTACTCATCCACACAAACAATGAAATATATTCGTACATCCACAATCAAGCTACACGGTTATTATAAATAATATTTGCAGATGGGGAAGCATTGCAATTTCCGTTAAAAATCGAAACAAAGAACCCGCAAACCAACATCCCAACCGAAGGTCGTGGGGTCGAATCCCGCACGTGACGTTAACATTTTCATCTCGACCAAGACCTTAGATAAAAAGTATATTTAATTTAAATAATTTACATGATGGTCAATTAAGACTGCGTAACATAAGGATTTATTAATCTTTATGTAAGGTATTGGTTGAAATGAAAAAGCTAGTGTCACGAGCAGGATTCGAACCCACGACCTTCGGCTCAATACGCCGCTGCTCTACCACTTGAGCTATCGTCACTTCGATCCACTCAACACCAACTCCCCATCCCAACCTACCTTTCGAATCGAGTGCATCGAAGTCACAATAGCTCAAATGGTAGAGCAGCGGCGTATTTAGTCGAAGGTCATGGGTTCGAATCCCATTCGTGACACTAGCTTTTTCATTTCAACCAATACCTTACATGAAGATTAATTAATTGAAAGAAGTTATTTGGTCAATGGGACCACGAAATATAATGGATATGGATTTATTAAGATCTTGAGCAAGGTCGGCCAGAGAATTGAACCTCCTGTTTAGTATATCAAGACACGTTTATTAATCTTCAGTGCTGCGTCTGACAAAATAGCAAGGGCAGAACAAAATAAATGTTCATCATCCCGCTGACCTAACTTTAAAATCTAACAATCATTTAAATTTCAATAAATTGACAAAACAATAAAAACCTTCATCTCCGAAGGAAACAATCATAAATAATATTTTTCCCAGAAGTTATTTTCCTTGTGTTCACTAGATAATAAGCCTGATCTAATTTGTTCACTTTCTAATATTAAGTAATATCTTAGTTCTATTAAGGTAATGAAACTTTCATACTGGGCTTTCTACGTCTAAGCACCATCCAACCGGAAGCCATCTGATGCTGACAAATAAATCAGATTGGACATTCGATGTACTGCCCATATTTTTTTTTGTCATGCGCGCTTAAAAATGCATGATAAATTAATGTGCGATGCTTCCATGAGAGTATTTTACATGGTAATAGACTTTAGAGAACCAAACCAGAAAGTGTACGTCTCAATGTAAATATTGTTTACAGTTATACAATTTACTTTCATAATCACCCAATAGCAGTCATATTTAGGTCTGCGGCCGATTCGTAATTCGAAGTTAAACTTAATTAAGCAATCAAACAAGACATAACAATTCCAACAGGGGCCAAATTGCCATCGTAGCTCAACAATTTTATTCTGCTATTCTATTAAATTTGTCTTTTTGTATATTTCTTTCCACTGCACAATTTTTGACAATATTGTTTGATTAAGGGAATTTAAAACATTATATTAGGAGGTACATGTATATAAAAAGATTATGGGGTCAAACAAGACATTAAATTTTTCAGAGGAAGAGGAAACAGCCGGAACTTCTTAACGGACTACGAAACAACAGTTTTCCTCCCGTAGAAAATGTTTCCAGGCACCATAACACGACCATGAAGGATAAAATGATGCCCCGGGAACAGGGCGAAGTAATGAAAATCATAAAAGATTTCGTACCAACTGTTGTAAGGTAAGCATAAAAAGAATGATATAACTTACAACCATGCATAAAAAATAAAAATTACGCCATAAAAGTCTCAACGTAAAATAATTAGCAGGGATTTAAAACTATAAAAGATCTTTTACGTTATGTAGTATAATAAAAATTTACTCTAAAATCCTCTTAGCTCCTATTTAAGACTGAATTTACAAGTGTCTAATATTATCAAACGATTTACAGATTTTTATCTCATTTAATTAACACAAACATGGCATATTAAATTTATATTTAGATTTATTGTATAATTGTAGAGCATAACAATGGAATTATAGTTTGTAAGTTTTTAAAGTATGCCGGAGCGCGTTATCGACAAGAAGCTTTTTCAAATTGATGACTGTCTGTGTGTTAGTTATAACGAGCTGCTATTGTTCACGGAGAGCTTCCACCTTAAACAATAAAAGGTGTCCTTTTTCTATTTTCAAAGTCAAGGTTGTCCAAACCGTTTGTTTTCAATCCGAGCTATTCCCCCGTGTAAATATTCCGACTCGATTTTATTCACTAAGATCGTTAAACGTCTCAAAACGGTGTCGATGTACAGGAAAATCTTTTGTAGAGAAAGGCTTCTGGCCAGTATAATCTTTGGACCGTGAAGGTACTATTCTGGTGAGGACGTGCTACTGCCTAGGCATGTAATTTTTCAGCCCACACTCACGGAAGCCCGGCCTTGTCGATCCCAACGTTTATAAATTTGGTACGTGCCTAAGAAGGAAACGATACATATTCAATGAATTATGACGATTTATATGTACATTTTAACATTTGATTTACTAACCTAAATTTCAGATTTTGTGGAAGAGACTTATTAAGTTATAATAGATAGTAAATTTTTGCTACACATTGGGATGATTTTAGAGAAATATCGTGAAGACAAACGGATAAATCCAATATTTCAATTTTGTGTTATGTAAGGTATTGGTTGAGATAAAGAAGTCAGTGCCACGAGTGGGATTCGAACCCACGATCTTCGGCTAAATACGCCGCTGCTCTACCACGTGAGCTGACGTGACTTCGATCCTCTCGGACACCAACTCTCCATCTCAACCTACAACGTTCGAATTTTCCCTATTTTTGCCATTTTCAAATGTCGTGTAAACAGGATTGTAGAAGAAGTATCACTTCACTAAACAGCACCCCGAGGCCATTTCATAAGCTGCTGAGAATCGAATCCTGATTACATGACATTTGAAATGGCAAAGAGAGGGAAAATTCGCATGATTGTAGGTTGAGATGGGGAGTTGGTGCTGGTAGAGCAGCGGCGTATTTAGCCGAAGATCGTGGGTTCGATCCCACTCGTGGCACTGACTTCTTTATCTCAACCAAGACCTTACTTAAAAAGAATAATTAATTGAAATAAATTATCTAAGTTATCATGAATGATCTATTGAACACAACAGAACACAGTGAACCACATTTACGAAAGTTTGGCAGTTCTGATGGCAAAACAATAAAAATCTCAATTTGAACATTAGCAAAGAATTTTAAGTCATGATATCCGACCATTCACTTCTGATGGCCTAAGTTAAGCCTATTAAAATCGTCTTTTTTGTGTACAAATACATATAATAAAATAGAATTTTTATTTGTTATAAAGCATAGGTCTTATAAAAGGGTTGAGAGTGATACATTTTTATCAAAAATATAAACATAAATAAATTAAAATTTGAACGTATCATACGAAAATAATAATTAACTAAAGAGAATACATTAAAAAAAGGCATTCAAGTAAAACGAGTGTGAAAGACTAGCGCTGCGCAGGAATCGGTGTGGCCTGCTGAGCTATGTCGAAAATATTGAAACACAATACTGATCATAAAGATAAACAACTTGAATATCTAAATCGATAAACGTATGTGGTTATACAAATGGTCTTTTTTTCTCAAAACACCAGCACCCCGGGCCTTGATATGACCTTTCCTGTAGCGAACTCCCGGAAAAAACAGTACAGCAGAAACCAACATGCACACGCAAGAAGAAGCAAAAATCCCAATCAAATGCAAGCAGACAAACACACTTAAAAACAAATTTATAGTACAACAAAACTAACAAAATTAAATTAATTAATTAAAAATAAATAAAAAATTTTTAGGAGAGTAAAAAGCTATTATTTTTGTACATTTTGCAAAATTTGTTACATCCGTTTTCTTTCATATTATCTTAATAAGGAATATCGATCTAGCTAAGAATTTAGTGACATGGATACCAGAAAATATTCAATACCAGTACTCGATACTGGTAACGAAAGAAATATTCGATACTACTCAAGTATCGACAGAAATCATTCGATACTAACGAGTACTTACTCATATGAGTACTTTGTCGTTCATTAAATGATCAACTTACTCGCTATCGACTTGTGTGTACAATAAGACATTCGTTAAAGTAAAAAAATTGCAGTTGTTCCATAGTTTTAAGTATTTTTTCATATAGTGGGTACGTATGTACGAACAAGGAAAAAATCTCAACACATTGCAACAAAATTGATATTTCAATTTTTTCGAGTTTTGACAAAATTGATCAACG